TGTTATTATATTTATACCCTGTCCATCTATACTACTATATAAAAACATAGTAAAACCCCAAACATTAAAAACCTCCAAATACGTTGAGGGAAAGGAGAACCCCAACCGCCAGCAAAGGCTCCAGTTGTGGTTGAGAGGGGGAAATTCCTTTCTGGCCTTGTCATCCAAAGGCCCACCTACACCATATGGATGGGGTGGGAAGGAAAATAGCTCTGAATCCCTGAGGGAAAGGTTTTCTAAAGCCCACCGCCTCTCCTCCTTCTCATGCAGTCCTAAGGGACAGTCGCCATCTTGTGAGAACACAGCAACGAAATGTAGTCCCCCCTCCACCACTGCCTGCAGAGCCCTACACGGCCTGGCAAAGTTGTCTCATGCACATAGCGCACCCAGACCAATGCTCTGGAAACGTGGGGAGCTGAACTTAAGGGTGGAAAAATGAGAAACCAAGCGAAACCAAAATGGACAGATTTGTCTGTCTTGGGGAAGGGGGAGCAAGGGAAAGGGGGGCTTGAAAGCTGCATGGAACAGAGTGAGGAACAAGTGAATGTTAGCAAAGAGCCACAAGGCCTCCATGCTAGAAGCTCATGAATATGTAAATTCCAGATACCTAATGTTTTCCAGGTGTGCGGCACCAAGTAGCTTGTTACCAGTTAATGAGCCACCTGGCCCTGTTTTTAAGCAGCTAGAGAACAGATTACAATGGCAATTGTTGCTGCCGTGTTTCATGGCCTCTTATTACACAAGAACTGAGTTGGAAGGCTCAGCCAGGTACTGAAGCGATTGTCTGGAACTGGGGAGTGGCCCAATAAGGAATTGAGAGGGAATGCTTCGTTCCACCAGCTTTTGACAGAGATAGCAAGTTTGCAGTGCTCATGTGAAATGTTTCTCTCCACTCATAACCCAGCAGTAAACTTTAGCCTGTCTTCAATCCTGAATATTTTTTAAAGGAATTATTAAATAGCTACAACGATTCCTGAGTGCGACACAAGAAGTGGATTTAAAAAGTAGACATGTCATTGTACATGTTAAGTGGCCAATTCTGAGAAAGCTTCAAAGGATACAGATCACCAGGTCCTGTAGAAAAATGTTTTGAAAGCTTCCCTCAAAGTAAGCTGTCTCTTTTCTGCATGTTCTTGATTTGTAGGATTGGGGGGAGGGAGGGTTAATAAAGATTAAATATCTATGCAGCTTAGACAGTTTGCTTTGGCCCTTGCTGTTCCTGATAAAAACCTAAACTGTTTTCCTCCCTAAGCTGAGGGAACTTGCCAAGAATCAGTCACACACACACACAAACACTCACACACAGCCTGCCTGCTTCCTCCTCCTCATGCGCAGATGCCATGCCATGCTTGCATTAGATTAGATGTTTTGTCAGAAAACAGTCATTTCAGATACTGAAAGATAGCTTATGGTCTTGCCACAGTTCTTGCACTGAGAACTGGAGAAAGCCTCTGAATGAAACTAGTATTTGTCTGCACTGGACTCCTTCACACAGAGAGAACTTGGGACGGAAGAAGAAATCGGAGTCAGTTTGACACCAAGGCACCCCATCATTTCGGTTGTGCCAGAAGCTGTTTAGTCCTGCTGGCCACATAACCCAGAAAGCTGTCTGTGGACAAACGTCAGCTCCCTAGGCTGAAAGCGAGATGAGCACTGCAACCCCATAGTCGCCTTTGACTGGACTTAACCATCCAGGGGTCCTTTAACTTTTAACCTTACCTCCAAAAAAAATGTATTGCCTGTTGTGTCAGCCTAGAACTTACATACAGTGGCTGAGGAGGTAGACCAGTTCCTGAGCTGTATTGCTCACTTCATGCTACAGGTGAGGGAGCACATCCCTGCACATCAGGTAGAAGGTTAGGCTACAAAACTTCTTGACATGCTTTTCTTTTTTATGTGCAGAGAAGAGTTTCATGCAAAAAACACAGAAAATCTTGTTGCATTGGCCTTTGTTAACATATGAAACATATCACTTGGATATCTGGAGATTACATGTTCTTCCCACTGATGAGTATGACAACAGGAGAATTCAAAATACCTGTCTTAAATTATTTCCTGTTTTAAAAGACTCTGTGACCACATTCACACTCAAGCCCACAGTCAGGGCTTCCCCCAAAGGATTTTGTGACTTATAGGTTGTTAAAGGTGTTATGAGTGGTGTGGAGAACCTTGTTCCCTCTGCGAAACGACAATTTTCAGAAGGAGAGACGAATTGTTTGTTAAACCACTTTGGGAATTGTAGCTCTGGGAGGGGAATCCTTAAATTCTCACTTTCATAATGCCTTAGCTCAGAATAGTAACACTGAAGACTTGTGGAAGTGAGCATTATGACCCCATCATTTTTTTTCTTTGTCTTGGACTGGGAACTAAGGAACAGAACTGTGAGGAAATGGCCTTCTGAAATCCCCCCAACAAGAAATGGGGGTGGGGGATTTCTCCAAATTTTCCCCTGAGGGAAAAGCAGCAATTTCTCAGGGGCAGCGCTCGCCATTAGTAGTAGAAGTAGCCTAGCTTATTTTCTTTTCCTGTGCCCTTTTTTGTGCCCATTGCAAATGGCAGCAGTAACTGTGCTGGCCGTCTGGCCGCCATTTTGCACATGAAACATTTTGAAGGAAAAATGAGCTACAGATATATGAGACTATTCAGTAAAAATTCTGCAAAGTGACTTTATTTTTCTAGTGGTGTGAAACACAGAAAAATATCTGGCATTTCCTTGAAGAAGTTTCAGTTCAATTCTACTACTGAAGTCTGGGCATTGCCCTTATTCTGAATGGGAGAGGATGGAGAGCACAACCCTATTGCCAAGGAAACCAGGTTGATATGCTTCCTCTTACTGTGTGTCACTGCACTGGCAGTTTCACTACATGCCAGCAAAAGTTGCCTAACCATCTGTTTCTGTGTAGCAGCACCGGTGGTGGACCGAAGAAGAAGAAGAAGAAGAAGAAGAAGAAGAAGAAGAAGAAGAAGAAGAAGAGTTTGGATTTGATATCCCGCTTTATCACTACCCGAAGGAGTCTCAAAGCGGCTAACATTCTCCTTTCCCTTCCTCCCCCACAACAAACACTCTGTGAGGTGAGTGGGGCTGAGAGACTTCAGAGAAGTGTGTCTAGCCCAAGGTCACCCAGCAGCTGCATGTGGAGGAGCGGAGACGCGAACCCGGTTCACCAGATTACGAGTCTATCGCTCTTAACCACTACACCACACTGGCACTCGCAGGTATGAACATTGTGTAGACAGGCAATATCAACATTTAGATGCACTTGCTTTTGCCCATCCATGCCGCAATACTTCCAATGGGATACATACACAGTTGTAGTTCAATCCAATGTATAGCCTCACCCACCTCTGCAACTCATAGACAATGTGCCAGCCCTGGTCCTTGGACACTGGTACACGTGCTTCTCAGCCCACCAACTGCTTTTCCTGGACACCCACTGCCTTACCAAGCATATTAGCAAAGGAGTACAAAAAACATTAAAAGTAAGTGTGTTTCTTCATGACGGGCAGACGGGTGCATGAAAACAAGCACACACACACACCATTTCAACTCAGCGTATGTTTTAATCCAAAATTCATGTATCATTTAAACATATACTTATAGCACCCTCTGCTGGTAAATGGGAATGAAGAGAAACTGAGCTACATTTTTGTTGAATATGGAACACAAAAGACAAAATAGGTGGTCTGGCAGGCTGTTGTCTTTCAGATCCTGCACAGAAGAAGTACTAAAGAGCAATGCACAGTAACAGTGTAGATAAGAAAGGGAAACAGGAATGCACAGGCACATATACTTCCCAAACTCATGAGATCTCTTTCAGGATGCAGCAGAAATCATAATGCCACCAACACATCTCTGACTGCAACAATTCCTAGGCAGAGCCAGAGACTTCCCTGCCCTACAATTTTCACACATGGACATTTCAGCAGGGAGGTTCTTGTTTTTATCATAATGGAAACAGAAGCTCTTAATGTCTTATTCTGATGCAGATGCAGAGCAATAGGTATTGTGGAGCTTTTTTGAAATCCACGGAACCGAGTTAATAATGTTATAAACTACTGTCACTTGGGAATAGGGAGGGGAGGGGGGGAAATAAATTATATTTCGCTCACATTAAAGAGCAAACCATTTGCCAGAACAAGATGCAAACCAAAAGACAACATTCATTCAAAATCCATACTTTTCCAAAGTTTAGCAGTTCAGATTCCCAAACAAATAATACATTAAAAAATGCACACATTGGTGTAAAAAAAGGTAAAGGTACCCCTGCCCGTACGGGCCAGTCGTGTCCGACTCTAGGGTTGTGCGCCCATCTCACTTAAGAGGCTGGGGGCCAGCACTGTCCGGAGACACTTCCGGGTCACGTGGCCAGTGTGATGAAGCCGCTTCTGGCGAACCAGAGCAGCACACGGAAATGCCGTTTACCTTCCCGCTGGTAAGCGGTCCCTATTTATCTACTTGCACTTAGGGGTGCTTTCGAACTGCTAGGTGGGCAGGAGCTGGGACCGAAAGACGGGAGCTCACCCCGCCGCGGGGATTCGAACCGCCAACCATGCGATCGGCAAGTCCTAGGCACTGAGGTTTTACCCACAGCGCCACCCGCATCCCACATTGGTGTAAAGTGTGTCTATAAATGCGTATATGTGAACATGACATCAAAAAATGCATTATATTACAGGGAATCTGCATTTCCTTACTCCCTGCTGTAACATTTTCCATTGACTATCTCATGGCTGCTTCCTATGAGAATGAGACTCTCTATACCAGTAGCAGGCAGCAGGGTGACACTGTTCCTGAATACTGGGATGGAGAAGAGGAGTGGTGAATTCAGAGTGGTGCAACCACACCAGCAAGAGCACCAGATTGGCTCTGCCAGTGTGTTTGCACCACACTGACCTCGCTGCCTCGCCCCTCACTCTTTTGTCCCAGTTTCCAAAAGCAACACTGAGTGCAGATATCCTATTGTGATTATGTGATTGACAAGGAAAACCTCCACACAATGGAGTGGAATGAATTAAGTACTTAACCCAAGGTACCACTGTATATAAAATGAAGGGGCTGATAGGGATAATCCCCACAAATATTATACAGTGGTACCTCGGGTTAAGTACTTAATTCGTTCCGGAGGTCCGTTCTTAACCTGAAACTGTTCCTAACCTGAAGCACCACTTTAGCTAATGGGGCCTCCTGCTGCTGCTGCCCCACCGCCGGAGCGCGATTTCTGTTCTCATCCTGAAGCAAAGTTCTTAATCCGAGGTAATATTTCTGGGCTAGCGGAGTCTGTAACCTGAAGTGTATGTAACCTGAAGTGTATGTAACCTGAGGTACCACTGTACATCTGGAAGAGTTATGCAGTGACCAGCACTAGATGTTACAGCTAGGAATAGGGAGATAATTTTAAAGAAATGTCTGGGAAGAAGTGAACTTCATGTCCCTTTGGCCCCAAGGAATAAGTTATTTGCTCTATCTTACACTGAATTCAGATTACTTGTTTTCCAGTCTCACAACATTTTTGCATGTGAAAACGAGTCATATGTAGAGATCCAGAATCCCTTGCCAAAAACATGTTTCTTGCCATGTTGGCAAGAAATTCCTATCCAAATACTCTGAATGCCTGCATTACAGAGAACAGAAAAGCCACAGCAGTGCCTTCAATTTTCTCAACTAGAACTGGCTAGGAGTCCTTCACTTCCTCTTTCAAAAGCAGAGGTGAAATCAAGAAAGCAAACCCATGGCACTTTCAGTACTTTTACTTTTCCATGGACTGCAATTCCTAGCCAGCTGAATGCATGCCCTAAAACCAACCCCAGTCGGAACAATTCATGTTCATTAAAAAAAACCACCAATCTGAAATCAAAAGAAAGCCTCGAGGCAAACAAACCAGAGCAAAATTGTCTTACAAATAGGTTGTGATGGGGCAGGCGTGCAATTAAACATACCTGGGAATAATAATAAATTATCCACGAAGCTTCAAAGGAGCCATCAAATCATTACAACAAGAAGGAAAAAGAGCAATGTGAGCTTGCTATGTTATAAAAAAGCTAATAATTAATAACACCACACACACACTACTGCTACAACCTTCCAATGGCATCAGTGTTATTGGTAACTTGTTTTGTTTTGTTTTTTCTAGTGGGAAAATTGTAGGGGAGAAGGAAGGTTAATTGGTCAACACATACCAACTAGACAGCATCTTAAAAAGCAGAGACATCACCTTGCCAACAGAGGTCCGTATAGTTACAGCTATGGTTTTCCCAGTAGTGATGTATGGAAGTGAGAGCTGGACCATAAAGAAGGCTGATCGCCGAAGAATTGATGCTTTTGAATTATGGTGCTGGAGGAGACTCTTGAGAGTCCCATGGACTGCAGGAAGATAAAACCTATACATTCTTAAGGAAATCAGCCCTGAGTGCTCACTGGAAGGACAGATCCTGAAGCTGAGGCTCCAATACTTTGGCCACCTCATGAGAAGAGAAGACTCCCTGGAAAAGACCCTGATGTTGGGAAAGATGGAGGGCACAAGGAGAAGGGAATGATAGAGGACGAGATGGTTGGACAGTGTTATCGAAGCTACCAGCATGAGTTTGACCAAACTGCGGGAGGCAGTGGAAGACAGGAGTGCCTGGAATGCTCTATTCCATGGGGTCACGAAGAGTCGGACACGACTAAACGACTAAACAACATACCGGTACTAACTATTTCTCAAAGAATCTTAGGAACATAAGAAGGGCTCTACTGGATCAAGACCAGATACATATAAGAAGCCTCAAACAGAGTGCAACAGCACTAGTGATTCCCAGCCACTGGCATTCAGAGGCATAGTGCTTCCGACAGAGAAGGAAATATGTCACTGGTGTGACTACAACTGATACAATCAGCTGGTGCCACTGTGATAACTGGTGTGGCTTTGATTGTGCCCCATTCATTTATCATTTTTGCCTCTTGCTTGGTTGAGGGAGGGTAGCATCTAATACTGCTCCCACTTCTAGTCCCTATCCTATTTGGATCCAACTTTATTGTGAAACATATGGAAGTACTTATGCCAATGACTAATTATACTAATTTACCGAAACCTCCCTCGAATTTTTACACTGTTGGGGTCTGCATCAGTGTTCCATTATGGTGTGGACCCACAGCCCAAAGACAGGAAAACTGAATCTTCACTCAGTTTTCAGAATGCCAAATATTTCAGGTTAACACTTACTGCCTTGCACTATTTATATGCATTTGAGACTATATCCACCCCTATCGTCAGTTTCTGGGTTCCTGATCCTACAAGGGGTGTGTCTTCTTGGGATTGGCTGAATTCACAAGGCTGTGGTCCTTGGTTTCATGGTCCACATCATAGAAGAGATCAAGGTGTTCCATTGAAATGAATGTAGAATATCCTCCCCAGAGAGCTTAGACTGGCTCCCTCATTAATGGTTTTCAGTTGAGTGATGAAATCCCCTTTGTTCCACTGGACATTTCTTATATTTTATTCCTACCTGGTGAATATTGGTTTGTTTTAAGGCTCTTTAATGCTTTTATTTACTTATTTGGATGTGCCTTGTGGGCATTCTTGAGGGATGGAATATTTGCTAAACTTTCCAGTTTCAGGAATCCCCCACCCCCTCAATGAGAAGCAAATGGGAAAAACAGAATGAAAGGATTTCCCTTTTTTGTCCTCCTTTGTTGTTTTTTACTTTCCTTTGCTTCTCGTGGAAAAGTATTGAAAATGAATGGTGTGTATTCAGTTTCATTTCCACTTCACTTTGGAAATGAACACACACCCTTACACTAAGTCCATCAACTTCAGCTTCCTGCTTCCCACATAAGCAAGTCAGAGGCTTTGCCTGATGCTGTTTTTATCATTCTGTAGCATTTTAGCTTATTTATGGCTTTGTATTTACATTATCATTGTTTTATTCTTTCTGTAAGCCAGCCACCCTTCTACTCAGAGTGCAGAGCAAAGGGATACAACCATCAGTCTCACGTTCCTGCCATTTTGATGGGCAGCTTATAGGCAAAGGAAGGGACTGGTGAAGGCTTATCACTGAAGGCTGGGCAGTTGCTGGTTTTCTTTGCCCTAAACACTACCATGTTTCCATGTGTAGCACTTTGCACTTGCCCATAGGGTAAGCGGTGATAATAATGTCACAGGGACACCAACAAACCAATTTGATATAAGAGAAATAGTGCTGAGCACTTGTACTTGGGTACAGCGCTGTTATTGGGACTAAATATGTTCACTGTTCTTAATAATCCCCGTCAAGCCTATGTTCCTGACAAGCCAGCTTTTAGACACACACATTTTCGAAACACTACTTGTGGATTGCAGCTCTCATTAGAACAAAAATATTATCTATGTGCTCAGTGCTTGCAAAGATATCCGCAGTACAGTCTAAAGTAACTGGCCGTTGCCAGTTTTTTTTCTTATTTGACTCTTAGTATCTGCCTGATACGAGTGTGGCTCTCGTTTTGGAACACTGAGACAAATCAGATTGACTGTTCTCAGTCCCATTCATGCCCTCTGTGTTTCCACACAGAATGTGCAATGCCAAGAATTGTTGCTTCATCACCTTGTCACTGCAGCTCTCTTCCCTAAGGGGACACGGAAGTAACTGTCTAAGCATTTCATGATTGATTGCCAGAGAGCGCAGGACTCCAGTAAAGGAGAGAATGAAGTTAGTAGGAGAAAGTTTTGTAAAGCCAAGGGTATGCCTTCTCCTCAAAGTGGAATAAGAGCAAAAGCTGGTTCTGTCATTCAGTTAGGAGTGCATAGCCAGATAGCAGGATTTTAAGCTCACACATTCAGTTTGTCATCATATTGGCCTTGGCACTGGAAAGGCCATTTGGGGATAAAGTAAGATCTACACTGTAAGTGTAGAGAAAAGAACAGTCTGCATACTTTAGGAGAAATGCTTACATTTGGGAAGTAATAGCAGCAGTTCAGCATTCAATCAGCCAGAGTCGGGACATGCCCTTAAACAAATATCATCTGAACCTCCTTATGCCTACTGTTCAGCAACCAACACCCTGTTGATTATCCTCCTGCTGCCTAAAACATATTCTTATTTCAGAGTAGGGCTGTGGCTCAGTAGCAGAACACTTACTTTGCATGCAGAAAGTTCCTGGTTCCATGTCTAGGCAGAGCTGGGAAAGATCCCATCTGAAACCTTGAAAAGCCACTGCCTGACAGTGTAGACCTGGGTTTCCCAAACTTGGGTCTCCAGTTGGTTTTGGACTACAACTCCCATCATCCCTAGCTAGCAGGACCAGTGGTCAGTGATGATGGGAATTGTAGTCCAAAAACATCTGGAGACTCAAGTTTGGGAAGCCCTGGTGTAGATAATACTGAGCTAAATGGACCACTAATCAGAATCAGTACAAGGCAGTTTCCCACATTCCTGACCAGATGTGACAAGTGAGAGCCTAGTACTTGTTTGTTTAGGTCATATATAACTCACTCTTCATTAAAATCACACAAGTCGAGTATCTTTATGTGTGTAGACTTGATGCCACAGTTGGGGTCACTCCCATGGAGGTGTCTAGATTTGGGGATCAGTTTTAGTCATTGTAGCCTGAGGGTGTGGACAGGACATTTGCAGGCGTTACGCCAATCACATGCCTTCTTGACCCTTGCCCATCATCACTTGCAAGGTCTAGTTGAGAGGGATTGACCAGGTAGCTCCAGGAGGTGGTCAATATCTCATTACAGGAGGAAGAAATGCCTATTGGTAGCTTGGAAAAGGCAGTAATACAGCACCTTCTTAAGACCCCACAAGTGGACTCTAAGGTGCTGGATAGCTACCACCCAGTTTCAAGTAAAGCCATCCAAATTGGTGGCCATTGCTTCCTCCTGTAGCAGCGAGTTCCCCATAGTATAACTATGCTATATGGGAAGAATAAGTTTCTTTTATCTATCTTGAATCTTTCAATATTCAGCCTCATTAGGTGTCCCCAAGTTCTAGTCTGATGAGGAAGAAAAACTTCAGATTTGCTCAGGTTGTCTAGAAGAGGGTCCAGAGTTTTCACAGAAGCATGAGACACGTCAGTCATAAAAAAGGAGGTAATGCAGGTGAAGATGGATCCCAAAGAAATGGTCTTCATGGCAAGAGGGGAGCATCCAATATTTATTTATTTATTTATCTATCCCTTGCATTTCCTCTGCCTGGACTTGCATATGAGAAATCACAGAGTTCCTGGAAAGAATGAAATTAAGCAAACCCCTATTGCTAAGTTTGCATTAGCAGATCTTCACGGGAAGCAGCCTGGATAACCTCCATGAATTAAACACCGCAACAATCAAAGGCCTTTGGCACCAGCTGAGGATTAATGGCCAAGCGGAAACATGATGGCTTAAGGCAAAATTGAGCACTCATTAAGCCAATTCCCTTGGAAAAGTACTGTGCCAAGGTTATTGCTATTATAGAGTTTCTTTAAACATGCAGAGGAGCAAACAAATAAAAATCACAAGAGAGTGAGAATAACCATTAGACTCTGTGGTTTATTCACCTAGCAAAACAGAAATATGTTGGTTTTTTCCAGGGAGTGTTTGAGTTCCATATCTAAAAAATGCTCTAACGGATAGAAGTAGTTATACGCTATACAGTTGGAGCCAAAACCAAATTACAACAAAAATATATCATAATATATCATAGATATGATATATCCAGTGTTTTATTTGTATGAAAAATGGTACCAGTATACATCGTGCCTCACCATCCCCCCACCACCATCCCGCTACTGTTTGCCTGCTCGCACCCTCCCATCCCACCACCTCCACTGCTTGCCTGCCCACCCACTCACTTGCTCAGTCGCACACCCCTCGGACCTTTGCCTGCCTGGGATGGTGGTGGTGGGCAGTAGGGGTGGGGCCACCGAGAATGCAGGGCAAGGCCAGCAGGTATAGATCTCCCCTCCCCCCCAATAAGATTGTTAATTTCATAAGGCAGAAAAGATCAAATGCAGCTCAACTCCAAAGCAGCAATTCTAAGCACTTTTAGGGAGTAAATAGCATTGAAACCAGTGGGCCTTGCTTCTGGAAAAGAAATGACATACACAGGATGGCGCCGAAAGCTTTAGACAGCGTGTGGTCAGTTCTCTCTGCTAACAGTATGATTATCTAAAAACAACTTCAGGGTCCGTGGCCTGATAGTCCTAAGGCTTCCTGTCTGAGTGACAGCTCAAGATCCTGTTCTTCATGTAAATTCACTGCTGCAATAATAGGCTGGATTGATAGAAAGTACATGATGGGGAAAGTCAGGCTCTTTCAAGTTAACACTAAGGTCTTTTCCACTGATCAAAAATACATAGCAACTTCGGAAATCAAAGGCAGTGTAATCTTTCCAGTTAAATTCACCCATGAAATGAACGTCAACACATTTATAAAAGAGGCTCCAAGTGCAACTTCCATTTGAAAGTGCAAAAATGTGAATCTCACAACTTGAGAAAATATGTGGTGCATTTGAGTCATACCCAGAAACTGCTGGTGTGGTGGGGCGGAGCGTGGAGCTGCTCTCCTGAGGCTGGCATCACTCCAGCTTACCTTATCAATCAATCAATCAATCAGTCAATCAATATTTTAAAAAAGAGAGGGAAAAAGTTATTTTAAAAAAGAAAGAATTAATATCATCTCCTCTGTGGTCTCCTCTGTTGCGTGGCCTTCCTCTGGGTCCCGGCCTCTCTTGGAGTGCTAGCTGTGCTTCTCCCCTCCTTCCCTCCCTCTCCCTCCTTGCACTGTGATCCCCTACAGGCTTACTCAGGGGTAAGCAATAGCAGAAACCCCCTCCTCCTGCTGCTGCCCTGCTCGCCTGTCTGGGCGTCTCCTGCACAGGCATCGTCCGGTGGCTGCCCATCTGCTGCATGGCACCCCCAGTCAGTGGGTCCGGTAGCAGAGCCAGTAGCGAGCGAGCAGGAGGAGGCTCACTTGGGCCAGATCAGTTCATTTCCTGCTTGCATCTCATCCATGATGGCCAACGACGAGCTGGCCAACAAGCTGAGCTACCGCTTGCAAGTCGAGGAGCACAATGGTAAAGCCAAGCAGCAGCCGCAGCAGCCCAAGCAGCACCCAGAGGCTGAGCCGGAGCCCGATCCGATGGCCTGGGGCAACAGCGCTGAAGGCAAGCTGAGTGCAAAGTTGCAGCGGCGCACCAAGCTCAATGACCCTGCGCAGCTCTTGCCCAGCGGCAGTGCCCAGCACCACGTCTTCAGCCCCTACACGAGTCCCCATATGATGTGTCTTGTGTGCAACACATCATATGGGGACTTCCAGTGATGCAAAATGTTGGACACCACGGCAGCCGGCAGCTCCAGAAGCCAGCCAGACCCACATACGCTACCAGGCTGGCTCCAGGCTGCTGAGACTGCCGCTGCTGCTGTCACATTTCCCAGGGACATTAGATGAAATCCGGGGACATTCCGGGTATGGAATTGCTGTCCCCGGGAAACGGGGACATCTGGTAACCCTACCTTAAGCTGTTATGTTATGCAACATTCTTAATTTATTTATTTTAAAACTCCCCCTTCTCCCTTTAGGTCCATGCTTTTAAGGCAGCTGACCATGCACATTAAAAATTCAGCAATCCTCCAGAATAGTGGAGGTTTGCAAAAGCCTAATCCATGCATATTTTGACACCTGTGGCTCAGGAGGGAAGAGTTTGTTCCTAAAGCTGATTAAAAGCAGCCGGGTTTTTGTTGTTGTTAAAAAAGCTTGATGAGCACTGGCTTATTTCTGCCCGTGTATCTTCTTTAATTATAGCATCTTTTCTTCCTGCTTACGATCAATGTAATCAGCAACTCATTTCGTTTATTAGTATTATTAAATGAAATGATCTTCTGAGCTGGTCTGTGTAACTGATTTAGGATCCTTAAGTAGCAATTGTGACTATTAATGACTGATCTGGATGATAATATGGCACTCGTATTTGTTATCGCTTTATGAAAGTTATTATTGTAATAAACCCACATGGTTTTCAGAGTGATTCCTTTTAATCTCCTAGCAAAAACAAATAACTCATCTCATAGAATACTTTACATTATTAATCCACTGCTGATGAAATGCCTGGAAAGGCACAACAGTGGTTAGACTCAATGGAATAAGTTTGCTTTAAAGCAGATTGTGCATGCATGCAGCTTAAGGATCATTCTCAAGATTCTTTAATGCAAACCAAAACTGAGGCCTTAGTTTAGCGTGAACGAATTAGTTTAGCGTGAACTTGAGCTTGCGCTCTTATGATTCCTGTCAGGTGTATTCAGTCCAGTGCAGTTGCTTATTTTATAAAGCAAAAGTCAGGGGGTCTACAACAGAACCTTATGAGTAGCTGCAACATAGGAACAGCCTGTTCATAGCCTAACAAAAATGGCTGCTGGAGCCAATAATATTCTAGCCAACATGATTGGATTCAAGATTATAACTGTAATTTATGAGTTGTGTATTGTATTTTTTAACACTTTTCTAAAGACTCATTAAATCTCTTTTATGTGTAGTTTTCCCAGTCAGGCTACCATTAACTCGAAAAAGAGAGAATAAAATCCCATTTATAACCTTGCTACAATCACACAGCAATTCTCGCTTGACTGATGTCCTTCTTATGAATTATATGTATTGTAAACAAGTACGGCAAACCATCTTAAGGTCTTCTCTATTAAATCCCATTAATGAAATGCACCACTTAGCTTATTTGACACTTAAGTGACTCCCATAAATTTCAAAGAGAAGGCACTATAAAGAAAATATTTGGAAGAAACAAGTTAATGAACTCTCTGTATCCCACCCACCCCAACCCCCACAAAAAAATATGCAGATCAAAATTTGCAAAGCAGTCTCTTGTTGACCTCAAAAACCAAGAACTATTCAAATATAAGTGTGAGGAAGTGAAAAGCTAAATGCACTACTAAGCAAGCCATTAGCTCCCTTTCTGCTGTCACCCCCAAGGCCATCCTACATAAGACAGCACTTAGACTTCAGCAGAGTTAGTTTTTCTTTGAGAAGAATAAGTGGCTCACGTAAATGTAAACTAAGCTTTAGGGGGAGGCGGGGCACATTGATGCAAGTGGCACATTGATACACCAAGAATATTTCAATATCGAGAAACATTATTCGTGTTGTGACATCACTAAAATGTGTCTATACATGTGTGAGTATGACAGCTGCGACCGCGCCGACCACCAGTTTGCTGTTGGCGTTTGACAACAGTAGGTGTGTTTTTAGCTTGGCCAACTAAAAAATTATGTGAAATGTAAAAGTATTCCAATGCTATTTTACGTCATTTAGTTAAGATTTAAAAACACCAAAGGTAAGTCATCCCATTTAGTAATCAGGATTACATGTGATTTTTAAAGAATTTCAGTGGTTTTATTAATAATTGTTAGTTTTCTGAAAATGTCCATTGGAGCACTTTGATACACACTGATACGTATAAAAGTGCCCCGCTAATGTACAATAGTGCCCCAATATACCAGTTTGCATCTCTAAACTGATTTCCTACTCATGAAATTTGAAAAGAAAAAAAACTTGTTTACGACGTGGCCAAAGTCATTTCTAAATATAATTTGACTGATTATCAAGTGTCATATCTCAGGAAAAAAACAGGATCTTCTATGTTTGTCTTCCCCATTGTAGAAGATAAGGCAAGCGTTGATTTCAAGGATGTTGTTTTGCAGTTGCCAAAACCAAGTTTTTCAAAGGGCACATCTTGAACATCATCTCTTTATACTTTTTATTTTGACTTCAGTGGATATAATGTGCAATAGAAGCTAAACATTAATTATCTTTTTTTTATAAAAGCATTTTGTTTAAATTACTATTTTTTGACTACCAAATGTGAGTTCTTATACTTTTTAAAGTTTTTCCAAAGTTTTTTTTTTAATGGATAGGTGTTTGAGGAAAGATTAATATAAGTTTTGATGTTTTGTTTAGAAAACCTGCCATAAAGTCTATGATATGTGTGAAACACTATTAGTTTTGATACATAATTTAGATTTTAAGTAACAAATTGTAAAGCTGATTATGATCTCTCACAATAAAAATTGTTTTTTGTAACTAAATTTTTGTAAATAATTACCATTCTCATACAATTTACACTTTGTATCGAAGTGCCCCATCCACTGTATCAAAGTGCCCCGTAGGTGGGGCAGAATGATACAAACCCATTTTTTACTCGTCATTATCTTCTCATTATCTTCTCACTTCAATGGTTCTTTTGATTGCTATTATAATATTGATTAGTTATGCCATGCATAAAGCAAAAATTTTTATTATTTGACTCATTTTGGTACATAAAATATGAGATTGAATTTTTCTGCATCAATCTGCCCCACTTCCCCCTTATAGTAAAGAAAACTGTAACAAAATAAGATAATGAGAGAAACTAAATACAACAACATGAGGCAAGTCTGAGGCAAAAAACAAGAAGAGGCATTTGGTTTCTGTGGCGTTTGTACGGAGCCCCTGATCGTCTCACGGACTATTGACCCGTACACCACTAATCCGCTGCCACCAACCAGGTCCTCCCCGGTAAATCACTTAGTCTCACTCAGGGGTTCTTAATTTAACAAAGAAGAGTGTAGTTTATTGCAGACACAAATAAACTTTAACTGCATTCAAAACGTTGTTACTCTTTACCTTCTTAGTCTTATTTTATCCTGTCTCTAACTCTTCTACCTCCCCTCACACAAGAACCAACTGCACTAACTGTCTCTCTAATCCCAATTGTCTGCCAACTGCTTTTCCAACTGCCTTTCCCAACCAACCAATCCACTAAAACCAACCAACTACCCACCTCCCAAACCTCGGGCTAAGCCCTTTTATAAACAGGTAGGCTCCGCCTCCGGCTTTCTTATTGGTCTACATATTAACCCTTTCTCTCCCCCTGTACAGACATTTTCAAACAAACAGGCAAACGCCACATGCTCGCTTAACTGAGTGTTTTTATTACACAACCTTCTTCTAAATGGTCCCTCTTTCAGCATTCTACAGATAGGATGTCCTTCCATTTGTGTTCCATCCCATTATGATCTCTTTAGGTCATGCTTATGTCATACAAGTTCCAAATTAATAATTCTCAAACAGACACCAAAACTCACTAGGTGTGTTGATGAAATGCCAGACTGCAACAATGAACAAACTCAATGAAAAGGGAGAGGCGTTGCAAGACCTGGCTTCTGCCATCAACAGGGCCATATTTGGGGAAGTGAGGCACAGGCAATGAACAAGAAACCACACTGCTTGTTATTTAGACAAGGAAGCAGGCCTGTCCCAGAAGCTAGGCTTTACCTAATGACCTGGTTCGGCCTATTGTCAAAGAGGTTTCATCGCTGGTCTGGCTGTTCCAATATATTTCCCTTCCTTGGCCAATGAATGATGCTGGCTAAATCCCTGCCAAATATCCCTCAGGCTCAAATTTAGGAGCCAATGCACTGTGGGCCAGAATTCTGATGGGCTTCTGGACAGATTGCCCTTCAGTCATGCCTAATGTCATCCAGAACAATCCGACGCTATCCGCGGGCTCAATCTTGGCAGTCTGCAGGCATCAGTGATGCCAGCTCACCCACCTTGGCACAAATGCCCAGCACTACTGATTGGTTGTACATTACACACACACATCCAAAATGGACTGGCAGTAACCAGGACTAGCTAAAATGCCCCCTTAGGACAGAATTATAGCTATCTGGAAGTGCAGTCCCCAGATGATTCTTTCTCTTTCACAAGGTAAATGTCACACAAAAAGGCCTTTAAAAAAAGAAAGAGAAAGGAAAAAAAGGAGACTATGCCCTGGAGATTTATGAACAATGCAGAAGACCCAATACGCATTGTATGCTCTCATATTGAAGATAAGACAGAAGGTGGGCATTGTGGAAGTTGCAGAGCTTTGGAGTGAGTGCAGGAACACACACTCATCCATGCATGTTCTTGCTGATCACACTTCAAAGAACCTAACAATAATGTCTGTGGAAGCGAGAGGGATTATCCTTCATACTTGAAAGTGACACATCTGGCTCGCTAGAAAATGGGAAGGGGGGGGGATGAATTGACAGAAATGAAAGGTAAAGATCTGAGTCTAAATACACAATGCATCAGCCTGCAGCTTTTCTTGAAAGAAGACCCTCGGTAAGACATGAAAGGCACAGAGGAAAGAAGCTCTTTATTAGAATGAAAGGCAGTGTATATATACGTTTTAATGAAATTCAATTCTCTCTCTAATTGGGTCACATCAGTAAAAAAAAAAAAAAAATGCATGCAAATTTATAGGCTCACATTGAGTTTGGCAGTAATGAATGCCCAGTAAATTGTTAGTCTAAAGCAATGAGTTTGGTATTTTTTCCTTTCTTAATCCTGTCATTACACAACATTACAGATGCCTTGCTGAGGGCTTGGAGACATCATACACATTCATACACACAAAAATAGGTTGCGAAACTGAATATATTTGAGCTACTCTAGATGAGGAGGATGAATGGGGGTTTGAGGAAACAGACTAACAAGAAAACAGGAAACAGGATTAATGGTTGAGGAATTAAAGCTTGCAAGATTACTGTTTTTAAAGCATGGGCTGAGGGGCATGGCTGGCTGGTTTCATCTCACTGTATCAAGATGAAAACATGATTCTAAAGTACATACAGGGGAAGTTGCTCAAAATTATTTTAAAATAGCAATTGTATTCCAGGTAGTCACACATACATAAGAGAAACTTCAACTGTATAGCCCTGGTTCAAATATATAAGGAAGAGGAAGCATTCCAAGATAATATACTCATATATTTTTCTTTTTAAAAAAAATTTAAAAAATGAAATCCTGTGTTACTTTACAAACAACTAAACCACTTAATTTCAAAAGCTTTCATCTTATTCATGCATTTAAATAGAACCTAAATTGACTCTGTAGCTCATCAATGCTGAGACATCAGGGTGTAAATTGATTCCATCTACATGGCACTTCTGGTACTTAAAGCAAATCAAGAACAGGTAGTTCCGAGGGTTGCTCTGCACAGTATGAGGCACCCAGCCTGGCAATGGCAAAGTGAACATTTAACAGCAAGTTTCAGCTAATCCTGGCTCACTGATGAGTGAAAATGCCAAGGAGGGATGGGAATCTGTGGCCCTCCAGGCATTCGTAGAGAGTACAACTCCACTCATCTTTAACTATTGACCATTTTGGATGGGCCAATGGGAGTTGGAGCCTAAAAACATCTAGAGAGCCAAATGTTTCCTACTCCTCTCTTAGAGAGACTGCTGGCTGATTGATGAGGATAGCGGCTGATGTTTTCTCAATAGAAGAGATCTAGCTACTGCTTTCCCACTATTCTGCATTTTGCAGAATTTTGTAATTTCCATAGCCCCATACATATACAGTGGTACCTCAGTTTAAGTACTTAATTCGTTCCGGAGGTCCATTCTTAACCCGAAACTGTTCTTAACCTGAAGCACCACTTTAGCTAATGGGGCCTCCCGCTGCCGCCGCGCCGCCAGAGCACGATTTCTGTCCTCATCCTGAAGCAAAGTTCTTAACCTGAAGCACTATTTCTGGGTTAGCAGAGTCTGTAACCTGAAGCGTATGTAACCCAAGGTACCACTGTATAGCACATGGCAGTGTTCTAATCTTGAAATCACCTTGGTACATTATGATTACTAATTCTGCAAAGAAAGTCACACAGCTGTACTATCACTCAGAGTGATGTTTCCCTTTGCAAGGGGCTTCACAAAACCTGATGATCAGGTTTCGTAAATCTCTCTGTCGAGCACTGTACACTAAATGGAGCCTAAAGTCCATTTGGGCCGAGTCAGATTGAAATAGGTCCAGAAAATCAACTGCTTCCAACAGAGCTGAAAGATAGTGTGCCATAACTCACTCCCATCTGAAAATGAAATATTTGAGAGTGCCATCCTGTGATTTTTCAGCTTAGAAAATGACCATGAGGTAATTTTATTGTGTTTTAATATTTTAACTTTTGTATGTTTTAAAATATGGTTCTGAGTTTTGCTTAATTTTCCTGTTTTATCTTTTGTAAACCGGTTTGAGGGTTTTTCTTAAATCAAGAGGTGTATAAATGTTATGTAATGTAAGGGGGGGTTATTTTCCAACACCTGCCTTTTTCAAGGGTTCAGGCACCTGCCATTCATTTAATAAGTGAACCACCCTGAGACCTGTGGGTATAGGGTGGTATATAATAATAATAATAATAATAATAATAATAATAATAATAATAGATTTTAACGAACACCCTTGTAACTGGTCAAGTTGGGCAAAAGTCATAAATATAAGTATTAAAACTTCACATTTATTTTCCATAGAGGTAAGTTTTCATTTCATGGGATAAACAGAATATTCTAGAATGGGTTTTCTGTAGAAGCTGAATAAATAAAGAAGCTTACTGGCTTCCAATTAATTCAGAATATCTTGTGGTTTCTGGTCTATTTCCTTATTTGTAACTCATTGGGATCAAAAAAGGATTCCTCCCACCTATGGTCATAGATTTATCTGTAGAAAACCTTCCATTTCCTCTTAAGTTATTGCTATCAGCTGTAGTAGCATCCTCCAAGGGTACCTCCCTTTAATGAGAAATCTGTGCTTATGTGAAGCTTACGTAAGCAACAGATGAGGATATTATTCATTGTAAGTATAAACCAGGATTTGCATTTGGGGGTTCTTTGACATTACTAAAAGCTTAAATAAAAATGGGTTGGCTGTTATGCACAGCAGAAGAGGAACTAACATAAAACTAAGGATAATGTTGTCACTTTCAATGTCTGATTTTTTTTAATGCCAGTGAGCTAATTCTGTTTTTTTGAACCTATAGTGCCTTTGGCTGTGTATCTATTGGCAGACACTAGCCAATTGACTTTTAGGAGAACTGAGGACTTTGCTTTCTACATATACCTTCCAATCTTGAAAAGCTCTGGCTTGCATTCTAAGGCTAACCATTAAGGTGGGAGTAAGCCTCAATGAACTCACTGGGTCTGACTTCTGTGTAGGCATGTTGATAATTGTGATTTAAGAGAATGCAATATTCTAGAGATGATGAAAAAAAATATCAGAGACCAAGGTCTTTCAAACTGTTTGTTAACAAAAACTCAAGATTCAGGTTCCACACTGAATATAGTAATCTCAGAGAATTGGCCTACAAGATCGGGGTTGTCTTCCATGGGTCACACACAAGTTTGTTGTTGTTGTTTAGTCGTTTAGTCGTGTCCGACTCTTCGTGACCCCATGGACCAGAGCACACCAGGCACTCCTGTCTTCCACTGTCTCCCACAGTTTGGTCAAACTCATGCTAGTAGCTTCGAGAACACTGTCCAACAATCTCGTCCTCTGTTGTCCCCTTCTCCTTTGTGTCCTCCATCTTTCCCAACATCAGAGTCCTTTCCAGGGAGTCTTCTCTTCTCATGAGGTGGCCAAAGTATTGGAGCCTCAGCTTCACGATCTGTCCTTCCAGTGAGCACTCAGGGCTGATTTCCTTATGAATGGATAGGTTTGATTTTCTTGCAGTCCATGGGACTCTCAAGAGTCTCCTCCAGCACCATAATTCAAAAGCATCAATTCTTCGGCGATCAGCCTTCTTTTTGTTCCAGCTGTCACTTCCATACATCACTACTGGGAAAACCATGGCTTTAACTATACGGACCTTTGTTGGCAAGGTGATGTCTCTGCTTTTTAAGATGCTGTCTAGGTTTGCCATCGCTTTTCTCCCAAGAAGCAGACGTCTTTTAATTTCATGACTGCTGTCACCATCTGCAGTGATCATGGAGCCCAAGAAAGTAAAATCTCCCACTGCCTCCATTTCTTCCCCTTCTATTTGCCAGGGGGTGATGGGCCCAGTGGCCATGATCTTCGTTTTTTTGATGTTGACCTTCAGACCATATTTACACACAAGTTTAATACCTGATAAAATGAAAAGAAAGGATCCTAGACTAGGACCTTAGAATCCTAGATCTAGAATGTGTATACCGTACCTATAATAGAATTATATGTACAAAAAGAGGTTCAGGCTTATTCACACATTACACTGAACATGAGTGCAGACTTATTCTATGCATGTGCATATGTTTGAATAAAAGAGTGTACACTTGTTGATTTGTACCACTCATGTTTTGCAAATAGGTGCATGGACTGTACATCCATTGAATGCAATATGCTTATTATTTGCAAGTGTGCAACCAAAATTTTGTACACAGGTACACAGATTGCACAACCGTTGACTATAAAGTTGAATGCACACCTCCACTCTGATATTTCTGCTGTGGACACCCACATGCCTGAGTTGGAAAGCAGAAGAAAACCAAAAAATGATTGTTTTCACCTTTGCTGAACTGTTTTGGGATTTGGTTAATATTTACTGTTCTTATTTGCTTTTAAAATGGCTTTATTATTACAATTTTGTATTTACTTTAATGAAGAGCAGGTGAAAACTGCCTTTAAAAATTAAGGAAATAAATAAAGCCAGCTTTCCCATTGAGCCACTCATTCGAGCAACTGTGGTAGAACTTCAAGGACTCTTTGGCTGGAATTGTTCCAAATAATTCATGTGGCCAACCTTGGCAACATCCTCAAAGTGAATGGAATGCCCAGCATCAAGTGACTGTGTGGCTGTGGCGCCTGTATCTCTGAGGTCCTCCTGAAAAAAATTGTTTATTATATCAGACATAGTTACCATGTGATTAATTTTGGTTTAATTCATTTTGTTACCCATCAAAACATCCAACCATATTTCTTCAGCTGTGGTATAGATAAATATACATTAATTTCACTGCTCTGTTTTCTATTCCTTGATCTTATGCATGGATCATATAATTTTATTCATTGCCGTAAACAACCCTGTAGGAACAAAGAATATTAAAGGACATAAAATAAGGTCATTAACTATAGAGTATTACCTTGGCAGGTTACTCAGCTAATGACCAAATACGAAGCTGGAAGTTTCAGCAGGGTATTTTAATAAAAATATTCAGCTAACTGGCTGGCAAAACTATTTTGCACTGGCAAATAAAAAATGAGAAACTTTCCACTTCTGAACCTCAGCATAATGCATTTGTGAACATGCCACGTATTGGAACAGAAGGTTTGTGGGTCATTTCCTACATATACTTCCATGTAACAGCAAAGAAAGTTGGATTAGATGAGATGCAGTTCTCCAAATCTGTAGGGCTATGCTCTTCTAAAAGCTCATGTTTTATGTCCAATTCACAGGAATGGAAAATGTTGTTTTATATTCATTTTACATACAAAAGCATTTGTACCTCACCTTTCAGTCCTCAAAAAGCAGGGTATGACATATGAGGAGAAACCCTAGTCTGTTACCACCCACTGTGTGCATTCATTCAAGGTACCGTATTTTTCGCTCTATAAGACGCACCAGACCATAATATGCACCTAGTTTTTGGAGAAGGAAAACAATAAAAAAAATATTCTGAATTTCAGAAGCCAGAACAGCAAGAGGGATCGCTTCATAGTGATCCCTCTTACTGTTCTGGCTTCTGGGATAGCTGTGCAGCCTGCATTCGCTCCATAAGACGCACACACATTTCCCCTTAATTTTTAGGAGGGAAAAAGTGAGTCTTATAGAGCAAAAAATACGGTATGTGCTTCCCCTCCTCAAAAGTGATCCAAAAACTATTATCATTATTATTATTATTACTATTATTATTATTAGAATTTATATACCTCCCTATACACAGGGGTCTACTAGTTACTACAACCATTACCACATTTTTTAAAAAAATCTAATATTCAGCATCATGACTTTATACATCAATTTTAACTCACTGCTTTCCATGGTGATATGAAATAATTCAAATATGAGCACATCGACAGATGCTACATTTATTTCACTTCAGTAGCCAGACCTTTGCATTCATCTAGAATGCTATTATTAGAATGCTTTTCTAGCAGAATATCAATAAAGTATATTTTCAGTTGTTGTAAAGGGGTGTTCCTAAGTCCAGAAGCAGCTTCAGAGTCTCCGCCTGATGTTTGATTGACCTGTAAAAAAGAAGAAGTAATATTACTCTTGTGAGCAGCAGGCTAACCAGCACGTAAGCTGAACTTTCTGAATGATCTGCTTTCCTGTTAAATCATGTGGAACACAAGAATGGACTCGGTGATCCACAAATGCGATAACTGGAATTGATCTCATCCTGTGCAACTTTCGGCCATTCCACAAAAGTTTTGAGTCATTCAGTTTTAGTGGCTAAGTAGAATAGTGGCTAGAGCAGGCGTGGCCAAAATTGTGCCCTCCAGATGTTTTGGAACCACATCACTCCAACTATTTTTTTTTTTAGTTTGTTTGTTTTTTATTAAAGATTTTATTGTTTTACAGAAGTAAGTGTAATTTCTCTCGTATTTTTTCCATGTAACATTTTTACAAATCCGTTTCATTTGTTGAGACACTAGGGGGAGAAAAAAGAAAAGAAAAAAAGGGGGTGGAGGGAGGGAAGATGGGTGGGGTCGGGTGGCGATGTTTCTATTATGCTTAATGTATGTAGGGTTTGGTGTCAGCGTTGCTTGTGCTGTTCACTTGTGTTCCTTTGGTGGTGAGAGAGGTTGGGGTTGGCCTAGGGTGTGGTTGTTTGTTTGTGATTGGCTGTTGTGATCTTTGTTTTCGTGTGTGAGTGGGGTGGGTGGGTGTTTTGGATCAGGTTAGCGATAATGATTTGTATGCTGTTGGTGGATTATTGTCATTGTCTTGTTGGGCTGTGTATGTGATAAAGGGGAGCCATACCGGGGTGAAGGCGTCTTCTTCTATTTGTCCCCGTGTCAGTATCAGTTTATTGGTTGCTTTTTCTAGTAGGGCTGTTTCCCATACTATTTGGTACCATTGGTCCATACTTACTCCTGACAGGTCTCTCCAGTGTCTGGTTATGCTGTTTCTGGCTGCTGAAAGTAGGTGGGTTATGAGTTCTTTGTGGTGTAAATGGGCATTGTTGTCTTGGAAGAATCACCGCAACTATTGACCATGCTGATTGAGGCTGAGATGCGTTGGGGATCAATAACATCTTGAGGACCCTGAATTAGCTACCTGGACAACAGCGTTGGGCAGTGTGGAGAGACCCAAGTTCAAATTCCTGCTAAGCCAATCGGCCAATCACTTTCTCTTTCAGCCTTAGCAAATTTCCAGGATTGCTGTGTAAGATTCACATCCATCTGGAATGTGGACCCTGAAAGGTTGCCTGAGAGCGTATGTGGCCCTCAGGTTAGAAAACTTCCCTCACTTTTGATCTAGCATTTACCACTTTGCTTCCTGGGGGAGGCTCACATTCTGTACCAACTATCGTGGATTTCCAAGAATGTATTGTGAGCAGGTGCTCGTGATCTCCCTTGCCAATATTGTCCAATCAGAATAACAAATCTCTTGTCTTCCCTACCAGTCAGTTGCTTCTATTGTGAACATTTTGTTTTCCACAGTTTCTGGGCCCTCATTCTGTCCTACGGTGCTACTAGCAAAGGGCTTGGTTCTCTCGCAAGGAGAATTTATTGTCACAATAAAAATAAAGCCCCTTTCTCCACCAACACTCGCAGCTCAGAAGACAGAGTGAATAAGCTTTGGGAATTTACAGTAGAATACCACTGGGTCATTGTACCAAACTGAAAAGTTGGCTCAGCAGACAGCTGTAGACGGTAATAAAGAAAAGGTTGCCTAAGGGAGAGAACAGAGCAGTTTGATTTGTTAGAGGAGAAATGTACATTATTCTGGAGTGTGACAGCCCAGACATTAGGCTGGGTTTGTATTTTGACCAGCCAGAGACTTTGTCAGGGCAGCTATTTTCATGCTCTTGTAAATTATTAGCGCAAACAGAGTGCTCAAGAAAATGCAAGTTTACTTATCACTTTGGGGAGTGTGCCATTTGGTGCAAGACGGGTCATTTTGTTTTTTAATAGCATCGTTTGGAAACAACTGGCTTTCCCCCCCCTTTGTGATTGGTCAACAGTCGAGAAAGACATTTCATGTAACAAGGGTAAGAGAAATATGGACACAAGCAAAATATGTTTGCCGTGTCCAGTGGGTTGTTGCTGTCCATATGACTGTTGTAGCTCAGAGCCTCTGAAGGCTAGGACACTGATTCTGTTCCACGTGAAGATGACACATCGGGCCTGAGGATTGACTGAGCTGCCTACCCCCTGCTACTTCATAATGAACCAGAAGGCTGGGGAAAACAAGGTTATTTTTTAAATTCTGTGAGTTGAAGGCAATTTCAGACTTTAAATACATTTCTTTGGGGGAAAGTATATCAAATTCAATTGGCTTGCAATTCGTAGCATTCTCTGCAGTTGGGTTTGGGTGACTGGATGGATCGATGGATGAGGGTCTGTAATGGCTACTGCAGATGCGGGTGAAGGGAGTACCAATAAAATAATCTGAGAAGCAAGACTGCTCATGCTTCCTACCTCTTGACATTTCAGGAAGTGGGAATCATAAAACTGAGTAGAGATAGAAAGACAGATATAAAGATATAGTAGTTCCATGTTACAATTATATATTCATTTTATTACATGAATATCCTGGGACTCAAGGCAGTGCACATGGTTCTCTTCCCTCAAACACCATCCATGTGAGGTAGGTTAGACTGAGAGATGGTGGCTGGCCCAAGGTCATCCAGTGGACTTCATGGCTGAGTAGGGAATTGAATTAGTATCCTAAGGCAGTACTCCACACTTGCATGCTACATTATACATTCTTAAAATTATGTATTACTTGGCTTCCTAAAAAGGCATTTAATGAGATGTACAATTAAGAAACAGAAAAGTTCCATACAAGTATATGACAGCTTAAATAATGGCAGTAAAGGTAAAGGGACCCCTGACCATTAGGGCCAGTCGCGGACAACTTTGTTTTTTTTTTTTTAAATAATTTTTATTAAAGTTTTAAACAAAGAGAAAAGAAAAAACAACACACACAAAAAAACAATACAAAATTTAACAATAAAAACACACAACATAACAATTTAAAACAAACTCTCTTTTACATTCCCAATTTTGAATTACTTATTTTCTGGACTTCCTCATACCTCCCTCTTTTGTATTCCAATCTACATTATTTGTCCAGCAATTTCTTTTCCACTTTTTTAAACCCAATCTTTAATTTAATAAAATATTAAACTATATAACATAAACATAATCCTTGTTCTTAATGTCATATACCTTTAAATTTTTCCCAATCTTAATCTTTAATCTTAATCTATCCTAGCTTTAACCTGTACAGCTGGAAACCACTTATTTTCAATCCAACATCACTCTAACATTCCTTAATTTTGCAGTATTTCTGAAGATAGTCTTTGAATTTCTTCCAATCTTCCTCCATCGACTCTTCTCCCTGGTCACGGATTCTGCCAGTCATTTCCGCCAATTCCATATAGTCCATAAGTTTCATCTGCCATTCCTCCAGCGTGGGAAGTTCTTGTGTCTTCCAATACTTTGCGATGAGTATTCTTGCTGCTGTTGTTGCATACATAAAGAAAGTTCTATCATTTTTTAACACCATTTGGCCCACTATGCCCAGGAGAAAGGCCTCTGGTTTCTTGGGAAAGGTATACTTAAATACCTTTTTAAATTCATTATATATCATTTCCCAGAAAACCTTAATCTTTGGGCACGTCCACCAAAGGTGAAAAAATGTACCTTCAGTTTCTTTACATTTCCAACATTTGTTATCGGGCAAGTGATAAATTTTCGCAAGCTTGACTGGGGTTATGTACCACCTGTATATCATTTTCATAATATTCTCTCTTAAGGCATTACATGCCGTAAATTTCATACCAGTGGTCCATAACTGTTCCCAGTCAGCAAACATAATGTTATGTCCTACGTCCTGTGCCCATTTAATCATAGCCGATTTTACCGTTTCATCTTGAGTATTCCATTTCAGCAGCAAGTTATACATTCTTGACAGATTCTTAGTATTGGGTTCTAACAATTCTGTTTCTAATTTCAATTTTTCCACCTGGAAGCCAATTTTCCTGTCTAATTTAAACAGTCGCGGACAACTTTGGGGTTGCAGCGCTCATCTTGCTTTATTGGCCAAGGGAGCCGGCATACAGCTTCCAGGTCATGTGGCCAGCATGACTAAGCCACTTCTGGTGAACCAGAGCAGCACACGAAAACGCCATTTACCTTCCCGCTGGAGCGAGACCAATTTATCTACTTGCACTTTGACGTGCTTTCGAACTGCTAGGTTGGCAGGAGCAGGGACTGAGCAACGGGAGCTCACCCCATCGCAGGGATTCAAACCGCCAACCTTCTGATCGGCAGGCCCTAGGCTCTGTGGTTTAACCCACAGCGCCACCTGTGTCCCTTAAATAATGGCAGTAGCAATCTACCAAAAAAATAAAAAAAATGAAGGAGGCAATTTAAAACTTTAACTTTTTAAATTAAAAAAAGTCTGAGAGAACATATAAAATTTAATTCCATATCTGAAGTCCTACATGGAAGTTGCCTGGCAAGCATTGCTGGGTTGCTTGATCCAGCTGCTATGGGCCCCACAAAGCTGAACATCACACAAAAAGGAAACCTGAAGCAAGGCCTAGTAATTCAATAGGAGAGTTATAATATTGCTCCTGCATTAATGGTAGTGTGGTGAAAAGTATTGGGGTAAGTACTGTAGGTAGATGCTGCATAAAGTCAGATGGAGAAACAGGAATCGTCTGGTTGAGGTATACTGTAGATCAGGGTAGAGAACTTTTTTGGCCTAACAGGCCAGATCCGTATTGGTTGCCAGACCCATGGACCAGGTCTGACGGGTAAGAGGGACAACCCACCTGTCATTCATGGAACTTAATTATGACATCATTCAGCTGATGAGCGGTGACTTCAACCCTGCTTTCCGGAGGGTTTAGCTGTATGATTCAGTTCCCCACAGGGAACTTAGCTGCATAACTGACACAGTCATGTCTCAACCCCCCCCACCACCCCTACCTGAGGACATCACACACAAGTTGCTTACAGAAGTTTCATAGGTCATCCATTGAAATATATAAGCTTGCTAATATATACAAATAATTTAATTTATCACGCACAACCTGCTAAACAGAAAGGTAAAGGTTTCCTAATTTCATTTCTAGGCTCTTGAACACAATTCAGAGAATTGAGTCGATGGGAAAAACTGCAGCTCAGTATCATGGTAGCAGGCATCACTATTAAGTGGGGGGAGGGTTGCATAGTGGGAGGCATCTGTGAGGTGAAATAAGTTTACGAGAGAAATAAAAGAATAGGATTATGAGAAGAACAAAAGGTCTGGGGAAAGGGATGGTGTGAGCACTATTAGAAAAGGAAATGAAAAACACAAAGAGGGAGAGGGGGAGAGGTGTAGAGTGAGATCAAACAGCTCAGATCTTCCCAAGAAGCATCGGGTGTTTGAAGTCCACAAAGATAACACACCTTGTCCAATCCTCTTCAAAGATCAGATTTCAGGGAGCGAAAGGAAGAGGAGAAGAAAGAAAAGGAGGGAAAGGGATGGGCTATGGTGGTATTGCCTCAGAAATGAAAAAAGGAAATCACAGAGACGGAGAAATATTTTGTCCTGACAAAGTGAAGTAACTGTGAAGAGTATAGAAAAGTCAAACAGTCACCCTTCATGGGATTCTGAGATTTAGGGGCAGGGAGGTGGTTTGTTTTGATGAAAGCAGAAGGCTCCATACATCAAGTTAATCATGAGCAGAAAATGTAAGGAGGGCACATCAGAAAAGCAGTGCCCATTTATTCTCCCATTTTCTTTTCGAACAGCACAGCCAAATCTGTGCCAGATCTGTTTTAGAGGCTGCTTTTCAATGGATGCTACCTTTCAGGAATTAGTTAAATGTGCCTGTGTGTTTAACATGACCCTGATGGTTTCTTTTTCTCATTTTTCAGAGAAAAGGTCCTCCGGGATGGACTGATTTATAACACAGACACGGTGGGTGTACGAATGACTGAACCTTTGCTGAGCCTGCTGTTTCTCCACCGTGGACTGTCCCCTCGCCCTGACACCACTTTCCTTCGCTGTGGGGTTCCAAACATACGTTTGTAAGAATAAACTCACAATTAGAGCACCAGAGGTGGGGGAAGGAGAAGCAGCTGGGAAATCAATTTGTTGTGAAGTGACTTTTCTCTCTTCTTCTCTTTCTTTCTTTCTTTCTTTCTTTCTTTGTTGAGTAGGAATGGAATGGTCTCATTTTCCCAATCTTCAATTCAGTTCCCCACATTTCCGCAGCAATCTGCAATCCCTCCCTCCCGAAAAATTCTAAAGCATTTTAGTATGAATTCCCCTAATAAACTCATTTTTGTATGTAGTTTTGACTAGCACACACATTTGTGCAACCCTTTATCCTACTATAATACATTTTGTGTGTTAATTTCATGAATATATTGATTTTTAGGCACACTTTCCCCTCCACTTGGCTGGAGAACAGCATCACAAAATTGGATAAGTGTGAATTTTGGAGGATGCCTTTGTGTTCTCATTTTGTTTCTGAAAGTGTGAGTTTGATAGATTCAGCTTTAACTGTGAACTGGATCAAATTTCTCCTCCATGGTGCATCCATTGCTTCACTTTTGCTTTTGTATAACAGTTTTGAGGGGAATCATGTATTTATTTATTTATTGTATTTGGGCTTTAATACTCTTGAAATGTTAATGTTTTGTTTTCTTTGCTTAGCATTTGTATTTTTCATATATTTGTATTTGTGCATCAGTTCTTTGTGAGCTGCCTCAGATGCCTTTTTTAGCCAAAAGGCGGCATATAAACAAACCGTAATATAAACACTTGGCAGAGCGGGCAGAAAAAATTCATTGTTTGGATCAACCTTTGTTTTTACAAAGATTTAGGCATATGAAGATGCTTGAATATCTTGAAAGTTCTAGAACTGGCATGAAGGTATTTATTCACTGCTTCTTAGATCACATATAAGTCCTTTGGGGAACAACAACTTCTGGCACAATGAACAAGTTTATTTTATGGCTTGTGGGCAATAGGGCACCAGCAATAGCATGTTGCATTTGAACATGACAATTAAACGTGGCAACCTGAAGCCCATTCTCCCCATCATCCATGAAGATCATCCTGTGTCCTTGGACAAATTGCTTTCTCCCTGCCTATACCTGTGAAAATGAATGTGACAAGAACCGTAAAGCATTTTTAAAAAATGGTTTCTCTTACCAATCCCTTCTATTTTCCCTTTCAAATCGAGCACAGCCTCATTCACATCCAGTCACCAGGAATGCTACAAAATTTGTATGCAACAGAAAGGCCTCCAAAATAGATAGACACATAAAGCATATAGCTATAGAGCAATGGGGGACATAAAATATGTGCCTTTCCCACCTCAAATGGACCCATATTGAAGAGATCTAGATGAATGAGGCTTTATTGTGTTCAAGGTGACATAACACAGAGAGTTGCCTCTATGCATTCTTCTTAAAACAGTTCTGAACAAACTATCTGTAATCCACCCAGCACTTCTACTTGGTCATCTCAGCCATATTCAGATTAATGGAAATAAATTGAATGAAATCCATGCTTAGAGGGCTGCCACAGTGTGATTTGAGCTTCGTTATTAGTGATCATGCCTAAGCCAGTTCCAGAGAGGTCCATTGCTCATCTCCCTATAGCTTCTATCTAGAAATATACTGTATAAAGCAAGCATAGTGAACTTGTAGCCCTCCAGATGTTGTTACACACTACAAAACCCATCATCCTTGACCACTGCATGTGTTGACTGGGGCTAATGGGAGTTTAAGTCCAACCTCTGTTCCCCTGATGTTTCCTGCCTGTTCCCCTGTAGAGCATGATCCTTCCTGTACTTTCTAAAAAGTACCATGCACCATGAAAACAAGACACAGCAAAATGGGAGATGAAATACTCTTTGTCATTTCCATCATAAACTTTATTGCAGTAGCCAAAGGCCATGGCATCAAATTACTCTTCATTGCTGTGAGTGAAATTCCTATCAACATTTCGGTCCTGGAAATCACAAACCCTCCAAGTATCCCTATTTTCCAGGGACATCCCTGATTTAGAGAAGCTGTCCTGGTTTCTGATTTGATCCCGGAATGCCCCACTTTTCCTTAGGATGTCCCTATTTTCATTGGAGAAGTGTTGGAGGATGTGGAGTTATCTGACCCACCAAGCCATCTGAAGGCAATCCTGTATAGGATTTTTTTTAATGTTTAATGTTTTATTATGTTTTTATATATGTTGGAAGCTACCCAGAGTGGCTGGGGCAACCCAGTAAGATGTGTGGGGTATAAATAGTAAAATTATCGTTATGGAATTTGGTGTTCCTATTTCCATTGGGAAAATGTTGGAAGGTATGCAACCACAATCAGTGTTATTAATGACCTTAGGCTCTACCCTATTGGTAGTGTCACCACTAAGCACTGGCTACTTGATGCTAACCCATGACAGGGCCTTCTTGGTGGCAGTGTCCCTTTTGTGGAATGGTAAAGTGCATCTGTCTCCCTTATTATTAACTTTCAGGATGAACTTAATAACATTCTCATTTACCTAGGCATCTGGTAGCTAGTAGATACTGATCCTTACAACCTTTACATTATTGGCTCTGTGTGTATGTGACTACAGTGCTACCTCGGGTTAAGAACGTAATTCGTTCCGGAGGTCCGTACTTAACCTGAAACTGTTCTTAACCTGAAACACCACTTTAGCTAATGGGGCCTCCTCGCCGCCGCACAATTTCTGTTCTCATCCTGAAGCAAAGTTCTTAACCCGAGGTACTATTTCTGGGTTAGCAGAGTCTGTAACCTGAAGCATCTGTAACCTGAGGTACCACTGTATTTTAAAATGTTTTTAGATGTTTTTAAAATGTTTTTATTTCTTAATTCCATTGTTTTACTCTTTTAGTGTTTGTTGCCCTGGGCTCCTTTGGGAGAAAGGCTGGGATGGAAATTTAACTAACCAACTATTTAGCCACTAAGGACTTTTAGCTGCACAAGGGAATGTCCCTTCTCTCTCCTTTCCCTGTGAACCCCCCTGCTCCACCCCCTACAGCTGCTCTGGGATTTCCCCAAAATCTTCTGGAGCAGATTTCAGAAAGGAACAAGGGCAAATGGGGACAGGAGAGGAAGTTCCATTGCACAAGCAGAAATTCTTGTGCTAGTGGATCTATTTAGTTGGATACTACCATTAATAATACAAATAAATACATTTGACAATGCCAGAACCTCCCACTCTAATTGTCCTTTGAAAGTACTGTGTTTAATTATAGTAATTTAGAGGTCATAGGTGGAGTCTAACACTAGTACAACAGAGATCAGTCTTTAATGTTTCCGTGCAGTTTCTCCACATTGAACAAGCTCTCCAGATTCGTTATGAATACCCACAAAATCCCAGGAGTTTTTGTTCAGGGATAGTCACAGCGAACTGACTGAAAGTAATTGACATGACCCATATTCCCTAATGGGCTAGTCAGAGACGGAGAATGGAGAAGGTGTTGTTATGGCTCCTTAAATCTAACCAGAGAGCCTGTAAGGATAGCATGAACATTTAACCAAGGACAGCATAAGTGAAATTACTCCCATACATGTCTATAAAATAATGTATGGATGTATTTTAATATGTGTTTCTATTGAATTCATTTGTTCCGGCTTTGTTTATTTTCTTGATGCTCTTGAGTGGAGCAATAAAAAAGATGAAAGGCAATATGAGCCTGGAGAGAAGGAGGTAGAATAATAAAGCTGCAGTTATTAATGATCTGTCCTGCTTGGTGCAATAAGACCCTGACAGCTGTCAGGTTTCAGACACATCAGACCTCTTGTGAAATGTAGTGAGAATATCACAGGGCTGTTATAATTCTCGGGCAGTTGCAGAGGTCCAACCTTGGAAGTCTGACAAGCCCTGTGGAATTATGAATTGTTTAATAATATGACAGAGGACTTTTATTTGACAAAGGAGAAGGGAATTGGCTGTGGGATATGTGTCCTTCCAGTCCACTTGATGTTGCAGCATTTCACCGTTTGCACCATTTGCAGTCAGCCACAGGGCCCAGGCTTGATTAGAGTTGCCAGTGAAATTTCACACAAAGCCAGGTGTGAAGTGAGCTTGTGGGTGCCGCTTGGGGCAGAAACACCTGAGGAATTTCACAATAAGTCAAAATAAGACCAGGAAAACCACCTCAAGTTTAAGGATTCACATGCCTTTAGCTGTTCAGCAGATTCTTCTTCTTTTAATTAGGTGACAAGTGGAGGAGCATCAGGCTGGTTTCTAGATGTTTCACTATCCCTCATCAGTATTTCTCAATCCAGCAAGTTGTCAGGCAGAAGCAACAAGCTGAGGACAGAGCCTGGAAGATGCCCAGGGAAAACCTCAGCCTGAACAGGAAGCTATTATAGAACTTCCTATTTGAGAGAGTCAATGCTTCTGGAAAGAATGACAGTTATACATGTCATTCCAATACATGTCCTCTCAAAAGATCCTTCTTCAAGGGTGTGTCTGACTAGCCTCTTTATATGCTGCTCAGAAATTAGCTCTGTCCTGTAAGATCTTAAAAACAGGTGGTTTTTGAGCAGCTTGTAAAGAAACAAGACCCTGAAGAAGGCTCATTCAAGACTAAATGTATTGGGTTTATGTGTTAATAAGCTACAATCCCTGAAAAACATTTCTCGCTCTTTTTGTTTACCTCATTGGATGCTTCCTGGCTTTTGTAGGTTTCTTTGGGGAGAGTCAGTGGGCAGCCTGAGTGGGTGCAGCCATTGCAGTACCTGGGAGCCCTTGCATAGCCGGAGAAACAGAGCAGACTGTAGCCCTAGACAGGCCAGCTTGTGTGCAGAACCAAAGGTATCCAGTTCCTCCATGAATTGGTCTAATTCTTTATGCCATCTAAGACGGTGACCATCACCACTGTTTGTGTACCATGGCAGTGAATCCTGTAAATTCACAATGCAGTATGTAAATTAACAATGCCTTGTCTGAGGAAGACGTTTCTTCTGTCAGA